ACCTACCTGTCATCCCTTACCGGGGGCGCGTTCAACCCCTAAAAATTAAATAAGGAAAGTGGGTCGACTGACCCCTCGAATTTCACGTATTAGCCGTTTTTTTGCTTTTAAAACGAGAAATGCCTTTAAATTGCCTTGTTTCGTTTTGGGTGAGATGCGTCATTGTCAAATTTTTTGACATAAATGTCAATAAATGTGGTACCGGTGAAAAGAGAATTTAAAGAGCTTTCATTTAAGAGGTCAGTCGACCCACTTTCCCTATTTAATTTTTAGGGGTTGAACGCGCCCCCGCTAAGGGATGACAGATAGGTCATAAAAGATGAATTTGAAAGTTGTCCCCTTTCATGCAAAAATCCACGTGTTCGAGTGTTTTTCATTTAAATAATTCTAAATATGCAAAAACTCCTCTGTTTCGTTTTAGCTGGGACACCCTGTATAGGTACAAGATTATACTTTTTTACATTTAATATGTTTATATGGTTTAAATATCTTTGTTAAATGTTACTTAATCTTTTTGTTCAATATTAATTAACCCAGGAATATTATTTGATATTTTTGCTTTAAAAAATATATATTTCAAAGCATACAATTTTTAAAATAGTCCAGAGGCGTATCAAGATTTTAATAGAAATATTTTTTTTTGATGTTTAAACTCTTAATTAGATTATTAGGATTTGCAAAACCATTAGTCAGATACAAACTAATTATTTAAGAGGAATGGTCGCGAAAGAAATCCTAAAAATATTATTTTTCCGTAGATATTCGAAAAAAAATTCAAAAAAATAAATATTTTTTTTCAAAGCAAAAATATCAAATTAGACTTTAAATGTCATTTGGAACAATATTTTCTTATAAAATTTTTTCATATTTTTCATAAAAATGCCACTTTTCCTTGTTTGAAATTTTCAAATGGCATTTGACAGGAGTGAGGCAAGTCTCGAGTCAAAAATTTTGGGTGTTTTTTTGGTTTTCAGTCATGCAGAACCTAATGCCAAAAACCGATTTGAAGTAAGGATGAGCATAAAAAAATTTCCCATATGGTGGAGACTTTTCCGCGGGCACTTTACACATTATGACCAAAAAAGTTAATTTTTACCCATACATCCTCAACATTAACATTCCTACAATGATATATCATTTCCTCACATGGATATTCCCTTCTTACCGCTATTAATGTAACTCCACCCCTTTTTTTCTTTGTATTTTCAAAGTTTCTATCCCTCCTATATACCATTACCATGTAGTTGTCATTGAAAAATTCCTTTATCAATCATCAAATACACTAGATGATAGCCAAGATTCCGTTAATATTATAACATCATAACAGGCAGCACTTAAACTCAATAAAAACTAGTTAATTTTAGAATTCAATCTTTGCTCATTTTGATAGTATAAGTTTAATTTTTAATGGACATCGTTTAAATTTGATTCAGTTTTCATCGGAAATATATTTGAGCTTTCGCTCTGCCTCATAAAAATTTTTCCATTTTTTACCCCCACAAAAATCTTACGTTATTGGTTTTCTTATATTCTCTGGACTTGGCAAATAATACTTTATTTTGTCCAGTTATAGTGCTTCATTTATATTTCATATTGGAATATTGGCTCCAGCTCCCTGGATCTCCGGAAAAACATCTGAGCCCTTTAGGGCCTGTTTTATTTTCCATGCTTTCAGAAACTCATCTTTTTTCAACCGTGATACAAACCCTAAGAATAGTGTTTTTGGTTCATTCTTTCTATTTTTTTTTTCTGCGCGGTAGTAAAAGTCGATTTGACCCTGTTCGACTGTCACATTCAACGATCTACACAATGACGTTATGACGTAACTGTACGAAGGAAGCATGTTTTCCTCTTATTGCATCTAGGAAATTTCAACCGATAACTTTTTTCAAGGATATGTTTATGTGCTTGTTTGACCAGTAAATTTTTTTTGATTTTTTTCATTTTATTAATTTGAAAAAAATGAGAAAAATCAAAAAAAAATGACTGGTCAACAGAGCTGGGCAAGCTACTTGGAAAAAGTAGCTAGCTACAAGCTACAAGCTACTTTATATTGTAAGTTGCTAAGTTACTCAGTAGCTTAACTACCTCTTTGAGAAAGTAGCTAAGCTATTAGTAACTAAACTGCATTTTGAATTAGTGAAAGCTACTATTTAAGCTACTTTTATCAATGTACATGCCTTACCTAATTTAATTTCATAATATCATCATACGAAAATAACATATTAACTTTCTCTAAGAAGTAGTATTCAAATTTCTGTCAAAAACCACTGGAAGTTAATTTATTAGGTTCACTTTGATCAGTTTGATCACAGTGATCTGCGAATGCGAGAATAAAATAGGACACATAAAACATAGGTACCGCCTACCTACAGAGGTAACTAGAAACTAGTCTAAGCAAGGCAGGATAAGAATTTCCCGGAAAATGATAATTGTAGCTTGAGCAATTAAAGTATAAAGTTACTTTTATCGAGCGGTAAATTCAAACGCGGGCGATAAGTTGGTGGAAACGTGCCTTTATAAGGGGAAAACTGTTTATTTTTGAAAACAATGTCGAATGGATGCCATTATATTATAGGTATAGTTATTTTATTTTTGAACTAGAAGAGTCCGCTGCACATAAAACGTAATAAGTATTTTGGGCGTTGAGTATCGTTAACCACACCCTCGGGCGGTAAATGACACTTTCCGCCATTAATACCTAAATAACCTAAATAACTATTAACTATCTACCAAAAGTAGCTTAAGTAGCTTGTTTTAGTAGCTAGCTACTTTCCACAGTAGCTTATGAATACTTGAAACACATTACCAAAAGCTACAGCTACAAGCTACTTTTTTTTCAAAGTAGCTTGAATAAGCTATTAGCTACCAACAAAGTAGCTAAGCTAGTAGCTTAACTACTTGGTAGCTAGCTACTGCCCAGCTCTGCTGGTCAAGCAAGCACAAAAGTACATTCTTGAAAACAGTTTTTGTAAGAATTTCCTAGATGCAACTGTTTTTATTAAAACAGCATAGTCGCGAACGCGAAATACCTATTTTTTCAGCATCGAGAAGCGCACTCTTAAATTCGGGTACCCAGTCAATCAACCATACTTAATATTAAGTTTGGATTTTTGCTCTTGAAAAGGAAGCACTGACTTCAGTTCCTGATTTTCTTTTTTTTTTGAAGCACATTCTGTTTCTAATTGGCCGATCTTTTCCATGCATGTCTGAATTTGATCGGCCTGCGCTTTTATCGATCCGTTGGTTTCATCAATTTTATCGTGGCAGCTATTGAGAGAAGTTTCTATGTTGCATATTTTTTCAGACACGTCTTTGATAAGCTTCATGAGGTCAGCTATCGAAGGGTTGCATTCTTTGCAGATCCAGTTTACATCGAAACAGAGGCGTTATAGTGTATTTCAAGGTCGATTTAAAAAAAAACGCTCGGACATTTCATTTTTGTATTCGAGGGAGAAACTTTTCGACCCCATGGGTATTTCGCTAGGGTGCACCCCTTGGACGGGGTGACTTTTACCCCTCTTCTTGAGATAGAAAAGATGGGTCGAGTGGTACCTTGTTTTGAAGGTATTTTGATTCTCGTCACAACTGCGTATCTTTTTTGAAAATCGGATGATTAGTTCTCAAGATATTCACTGTGAAAGTTGTCATAGGCTGAATAAGAAACAATCTTCTGGCCCTGTTATTCTCAAATTAACACTTTCCTGACTTTCCTCTCGGACACGTCAATTTTTAATTTTTTGTGTGCTTCTGAAAAAAAAGTGTTAGTTTGAGAATAACAGGGCCAGAATTTTTTTTCTTATTTAGCCCATGGCAACTTTGACAGTGAATATCTTGAGAACAAATCATTCGATTTTCAAAAAAAAAACGCAGTTGTGACGTGAATCAAAATACCTTTGAAACAAGGTACCACTCGACCCATCTTCTCTATCTAGAAAAGAGGTGTGAAGGTCACCCCACCCAGGGGGTGCACCCTAGCGAAATACCGATGGGGTCAAAAAGTTTCCCCTTTGAATACAAAATTGACGTGTCCGAGCGTTTTTTTTTAATCGACCTTAAAATACCCTTAAACGCCTCTGTTTCGATGTTCGTGAAACACCCTGTATATTTGATCAATGAACACTGTTTTTTACTCTTTTTCACGAAGCTCTTGAATTATACGTCCGAACGGTTTAAAATACTACTATTTTCTTTAAAAAAACACAAATTTTACTCAAAGTCAAAAATTGCTGTGTTATAGTTATAGTATAGGTACAGGGTTATTGGTTATAAATGTCACCCCCCTCTATCTTTTTTATTTGATATTTTAGAAAAAAGTGTCTCAAATAAAAGTTTTATGGTTGAAATTAAATTTGAAAAACTCACTTTCGCATATACAGGGTGTTTCAGAAAAGCTGGTCATGCTCCAACTTTCTTATGTTAAATGGTATATCCTATGTATATTATTGAACATTCGAATTCTACATGAAATTCTGAGCAGATTTCATGTGATATACCCTATACCTAAGATAAAGTATAAAATTCTTATTAATGAGATTAATCTTCCAATAGAAGAAACAATATTTCATATTGTATATGCATCGCCCTGTATATGCAAAAGTGAGTTTTTTAAAAAAATTAATTTCAACCATAAAACTTTTATTTGAGACACTTTTTTCTACAATGTCAAATAAAAAAGATAGAGGGAGGTGACATTTATAACCAATAACCTATACAGCGAAAATATGGGCCATAGCTGAGCTGGGCCAGAGGCTTGTAGAGGATTTTAGGTGATTTTAGGGATTTCAATTCCAGCTCGCCTTTTTTAATATTCGATTGAAAATTGATTGAGCTTCAATCTCTTTGGAAACATCTCACGAGAAGATATCAACAGGCGATTTGCTAAAGTTCCAAATGTTTGATCGCCGTGTAAGATTAATTTAGGTGTCTTCCCTATTAATTGCCTCTGGTAGGTACTGATATACTCAATTCCATAGGAAAAAAAATAAAAGATCAACAGATGTAGGTATTAATAAAGCATATATTTTATGACCTAAAGCAGGTACAAGAATTTAAACATAGCTGTACTGTTATACTGCATTTGCTAAAAACAACAAGTTGCCGATACAATATCTACAAATAATATCGTATGCAAATCATCTCACTAAATATGTATGTATATATTTCCAAATGCAATGTTGTGGCCTATATACTATAATAACTAGGTATATATATGTATATGTACATATTAAAGACTTAATTCAACGTTAAATACATGCGCCTACCGCCTTAACACCTAAATATTTACAGTAAAATAAATTTTAAATTTTTTTCGCTCGCATCACATTCATACACAGTCACTAGTAGATACTAAAATAATTTAGCAAAATACTGAAATATTGCAAAAGGAGATTCCGAAAATGTATGTAAGTAGGTAATGCATGTAAATAAAAGGTACCTATATGTACCATGTACCTAGTATCTAAGATTTATAAATGCTCCTAAAATTTTACTTACAGAGTCACCATATTCTAGCACATAATATCAAAAACATTGATTGGCATTGACTAACCAATATTTTATCTGCTGGAACTAGTCAAAAAGATGAACAAGGAACTAAAAAAATATAAAAAAAAATTATAAATAAAATAAGTACCTTCAAGGTTATTCAGTATTAATTAAGCAATAAATTATATATAGATATTTCCTAGAAATTTATTTTTGTAATTTTTATAATTTAATATTAGGTAAGTTTTAGTTACTGACTAATATTAAATAAATTTAAGTTAAATATTGCGTTTCAACTATAAATTTTATCACTAACTCTATTTCAAAATATTAAAAATTATTTCACATAAACTGATTTGCCTTAATACACAATCTTCTCGTTTTACGTGAGTGGTATCGGGCGTTGAACGGATTGCTTGGCGTGTCCGGCACGGTCGTTAAAACTATCTAAGCTCTGACCAAAGTCTCTCTGACAGTATTTTAGTTATAAGTCCTGTTCATTTACCAGTCAGAGCGTTTTTAACTGGTGCAAATCGCCAACAAACAGTTTTCTGACTATTTTCAACCAATGAATTTCCAATTAAATTTGCTCTGACTGGTTTGTGATTTCTGTGAGAACAGACTTTTCGATGTGGATTCTCATAGTGGATTGATGCAGTCGATTCAAGATTCTGGACTTATGCCCGTTGGTCGCAAAGGGTGCGTTTTTCGATACTGGGCTTAAAGACAAAAAGATAAGTTAACCACTTGGTAGTTAGTGTGATTAACTGAAATAAGAGACGTCTATACTTAAGTAACCGATGTTTTGCACCGGACCTAGCTACCAAGATATAGAGTTGGAACTAACCCAAAATGATGTAGTTTTTTTTTCTGGAAATTTAATTATCTATCATCAAAAACAGTGCATTTTTTGACTGGTGTGCCTGAATTTAAAACATCAAATTCTTACATAAAATTAGATAGGTAGAGGTACCATCTAATTTTACTTACCTCTGCGAATTAAATATGAAACCATTTTTAAAAGCACGCTGTAAAATCGATATAATAAAGGAAATAAATCTGGTTAGGTGAGTGAATTTTGCTTATTCTGTAAAAATATCAAGGGAGAAGCAGGTCCAACTAAATATGTAGTTGGATACCCGATAAAATTACAATGGGCTTCTTTCACACGGCTTTTGAAATTGGCTTAATAGTACGAGAGCCAGCGCCAAAAAAATGCAAGAGTTTCATGAAAGCTGAAAATTTAATATAAGCTCGTATTTGTGATGAATATAACTACACTCGAGTCAGCAAGTGACGTAGCGGGACAAGCTACGCCCACGCACCTTCGAATGTATTAAAAATCAATCGCGATTAGAAAGTTTCATGACCAGCTGAAAAAATTTCAATCCATTGTTCATTTAATAGAAAACATAACGGACATGGTCAGACATTATGTTATAAAAAACTAGAGTCAGCATGGCTATATTCCGGCCGTATAAAGGCCGTATCAGACGTGCCTTTGCCGATTCCGTTAGCCGTTGTCGTTGCCGTCGCGGTTGCAATCAAGGCCGTTCTGAACCGTAGCCAATGAAAGCACTTTATGAATAGCATGTGACATGTGTCTAAACGTCACTTTTTTGTTTCGCAATTTATCGCTTCTCCGGTGTTGCACCCAAACCTATTTTGGTTTGGATCTTTCGCTTTCCTCTTCTTCCAATGTAATCATATAGCACATCAACGCAGAATAAACTTCCCAACGACGTTCGGCGCTGTACTTTGAATATTTTAGCTGCGACATTTTGACATTATAAACATTTCGAGCGACCAGTAATCGGTAACGGAACGGTGTCAAGTGTGATTGCAACCGCGACGGCAACGGCAACGGCTAACGGAATCGGCAACGGCACGTCTGATACGGCCTTAATAGAGGTAACTGAAACTGTTTCATGATGGTTCAAATTTGGCACCTCAGTCAGACTTTAATTTGTAAGAACTGAACCAGTCAGCAATCAATTCAACTTTCAATATTTTATACACACGGGGTCCGCACAGAATGTAGGGAAGATCGGTTTTCCTCTTAAATTACCCGTTTAGGTTTTACAGCCTGTCAAAGTTGCACAAAAGTCAATTTTCAACTGTCAATATTTTCAAAACAGTTGAACTTAGGTATAGAGTATATCACATGAAAACTACTCAGAATTTTACGTAGAATCCAAATATGCAATCACATACAGGGTATCTCTTTAAAAAAAAAAATAATTTGATATCGTCACCCTAATTGAGCCACCCTGTATACTCAAAAATATTTTCCTAAAATAGAGTCTCCCGACCAGTATAGGTTGACATATGAACAAAATTCCTAACCTTATAAGTTAAGGACTTATAGACCGATGCGCGCTTAGCTGCAGACCCTGTGTGTATACAATATTGAAAATTGAATTGATTGCTGACTAGTTAAGTTTCAAAAATTAAAGTCTGACTGTTATTTTTGATTATTAGGCATTCCAGGTTGACGTAAGGTTGTTAGTATCAAACTTTTTTATTTTTTAAACAATTTAGGCCCGGTTGTACAAAGAATGGTTCAACACAAGTTCTGTTGAACCGTCGTTCAATGTTGAACGTGGTTCAGAGTTTCGAGTGTTGCGGTTTACTTGAACCATCAGTTGCAATGCCCACAATAAAAAGAAGAAAGAAAATAGGCGCATCCCAACCCATAACCTATCAAATTCATTGTTTATTTTTTGTGTTTTCTTGTTTACTATTTATTTAATTTTAATTTTCATATTTTTTTACAGACAGGACAGGTCACAGATGCATAATTTCATCTTTGATAAATCACACTTGTTTCTCCAAACTGAATCTGTCCTTGAATTATTCTTTATCATTACAAATGTTCAAATGATCTGTTCGCTGTTCGATTTCTGAATATCTGTGGGGCTCAAGGAAGTACATAATTTACATGTAACATAAAATTAAGTAATTTTTAAAAATCTTCGTCATCTGTAATATCTTCCCACAGTTCCCACTCAAGATCCATTTTCAATTAAATATAAAATAACGAATATCCACTTGAAAAAAAATATATATTCAAAAGCCATGGTGATCCCTTATCAAAAAACAAACAAAACATAGGAGAGTCAGGTTAGAAAATCCCAAAAAAGACTTGAACTCCTCTTGAACGCCCAAATTCGGACGTTCAAGATCAACCTCAGTTCACACTCTGAACCGACCATGTACAACGAATTTTTTCCTTTGAACCACTAGTCAGTGTGAACTTCGGTTGAACGTCCGTTGTACAACCGGGCCTTAGATTCTTAAGCCTTATTTTTGTTAATAAATTGTTTGTTTACTATTGTTGAGTTGAAATGTAAAGTGGCATGTCTGTAAATAAAGATTCATTCATTCATTCCATTCATTCACAAAAACTAAAAACAACTTAAAACTTATTGAACAAATCAAAAAACGCAAAAATTCCGAAGCACAAACTCAAAAAACACTGTAAACAATATGATCTATAGGCTTTGTTTGCCCCTCAGCTAATATGGCGGACCTGTCAAAAGTCACGTGACCTGGAATGCCTAATAGTACTGAATAAATAATAACCTACCAAATTTGAACCACCATGAAACAGTTTCAGTTACCTCTATTATACGAACGGAATATAGCCATGCGGACTCTAGTTGTTCTAACATAATGCTATCTGACCATGTCCGTTATGTTTTTTATTAAATAAACAATGGATTGAAAGATTTTCAGCTGTCATGAAACTCTTTCACTATTTTTTTATATACATTAAAAATACAAGCTTATTTTAAATTTTCAGCTTTCATGAAACTCTTGCACTTTTTTTGGCACTGGCTCTCCGACTATAATTGGATAAAGCAGCTAAAAATAGAATTTTCTGCATCCTTACTTTTGAAAAATTTACGAGTCCTTCTTGAGCAAATAAATAAAAAAGAAAACTTTCCAAACAAAAACACGCAATTTATTTGTATTACGATACAAGTGGCAATTTGACAGTGTTGCCACTAATCGAGCCACTAATTGTCACTTGTTAGCATTATAAACTTTTGATAGTTTTAATTCTTAAATGTTGGCACAATACCACGAAAAATAGTTAAATTAATTAGTTGTGGATTCTGTTTGCTCCTTGATTCTGCAGTAGTAAGCTTCTACGTTTGATTAGAATTATTTGTAATACTGCATCGTCTGGCAAGTTTTGATGATTTTAAATTTTACCAGTTGTGAAGTGTCTGTAAAAAACTCATTTAACCTCGTAGAAAAGTAGGGATGCAAACACCTACTAAAATTTGTATGTCTCAAATTACGTACCTACCCATTTAAATTTCAGTGAAAGAGTCCATTCAAAGACTAGATTTTTCGCGTATCTTAGGGTTGGGATTTATTTTCCTTCCTTCGTATGCTCTACTCTACTATCCTACTTTACCACAACATGATGGCACCATATTTGATATGTTCCACTCAAAAATTTAGTAAACACGAATTAATCAAATCAAGAACTGGGCCAAGCTCCAAAAACAATAATTTCACAAATTAATATTGTTTTGTTTTAGCATTAAAAAATAAATAAATAGAAAGTATAAATATTATACAGTAGTTTCAAGTTTTTGGTGCCTTTCCCGTGTTTCTATCAGCCTTCTTCTCTGATGAGTAATTTGCAGTCAATAAAAGCAAAAAATTGAGTAACCTTCCAGTAGAAACTCGTATGTCAAAATTAATGTGTCGTGCGACCGCAGTCGAACAGGCCAGACCGTCAATCACATTTTGCCACCCTTGAGTGACCAATCAACAAATCACAGTCTTGTAAGTCATTCTACCGCGACTGCGCAACCTTAAAATACATTTAAATTTATGTACATTCACTATATCCACCTGCCCACTGCACTTTCTGAACCTAAATATCTAGGAAATATTTTTACAAAGTGTGGTTACAATGATACCAAATTCTTTTCTGAGACAATTTCAATTGGACATGCGACAATAACAAATAGTTCAAAAATTACAAAAAAAAAAACGTTAGACAAGAATTTGGCAACACCGTAATCGTATCCTAAAACAAAAATAAGTTATGACAGCTTTGCCCGTACACGTCATTGCTACTGTCTCAGTCTTCTTTGGTAAATAGGTAACCTGGGTCTGCGTTGGACCCGCAGTTTCCATATGCGAAGAATTTTACGTTCCTTGCCTTCTTTAGAGAAAAATGGAGAAAAATTAACTTGTGCCGCTGTGTTTTTTCTTATGCCGGAGCTTTCTGCAGTCCTTCAATGAGCAGCAAAAATCCGCTGGGTTGATCTTTTCTTTTCGCCGCTTGATATCTTGCATCTTTTTGCAAGTGGGCATATCGCAGTGTTGTCGACTGCATTGGGGCGTACCATTCTGAAAAACAAAACAAATACATAAGTCGAAACAACATGAGTTCCAAACAAATTTGAAAGTTGTAAAAGCACAATCTCAGCAACTTTTTTCTATTGATTGTACTATTGACCAGGGGTAAATTTTCTCGATGAGAAATCGAAATGAACAGTAAGCTCGCTTAACTCGGGTAATAACGATCCATCAATAATTAGGAAAAAATAAAATTCGTAGTATGAGAATAGACTGAAAAAAGTATTGTACAAAAAAAGTTCTATACAAAAATTTTAGAGAAGAAAAACTGGTTCACAATGATTGTCATTGAACAAATATTTGACCGTCCACGTAACAAGACGCGACGAAAGGCACTAACTGCTGTGAGTGCCTCACTATAGTTGGTGTTAGGAATTCTTATTTTTGTCTGATTATCGAAGAAACAGGGGAGCCCCCCTTATAGCCCCTTATAGCCATAAGCGTCAAGTTGGCCCCGCCATAGCATTTTTTGAGAAACGAGGGTTAAACGAAAAACTAAGTTGAAAATATTAACAGCACAGTTCAGCACACTGAAAGTTGTATTGATTTTTATTTCTGTTCAATAAAATAATCGAAAAAAAGGGGGGGGAGACTGAGCGTGCGTCAAGTTGGCCCCGCCATAGGGTTTTTTGGGAGAAACGAGGGTTAAACGAAAAACTCAGCTAAAAATATTAGCAGCACAGTTCAGCACAATGAAAGTTGCATTGATTTTTGCTTTTGTTCAATAAAATGATCGAAAAAACGGGGGGGCTGAGCGTCAAGTTGGCCCCGCCATAGGGTTTTTTGAGAGAAACGAGGGTTAAACGAAAAACTGAACCAAAAATATTAGCAGCACAGTTCAGCACACTGAAGGTTGCATTGATCTTTGCTTTTGCTCGATAAAATAATCGAAAAAACGGGGGGGGGGGGGGGGGGGGGCTAAGCGTCAAGTTGGCCCCCCCTCAAATTTTTGTGAATAGCATTAAGTGCAACTCAGCACAGTTCCTAATATTAGCAGCACAGTAAAGCACACTGGGAGCACAGTTAATTAGCACAAAAAAAAATTAAAAAAATTGATAGGCGGGGCTAACTTGACGGAGCCGTGCGAGACGCAGAGTGCTTTATAGGATAACCAAGGGACTAAACGACTAAAGGACATCCGAGAAATTATAATAGGTCAGTTGCTTTCTATTCGAGCTAGTTGTACGTTCGTGACGCGCCGCGCTTAATCATATTTTAAAAATATGTGTTCGATCCTGTCGTTATCGTGCTACCCCAGTATTTATTGATATAACTGATTGAGTTTTATTAAAGAAACTTAGTTTATTAACTCAACTGCTTATTTTTTAATACAGTCCACCTACAGTTCCTATCGGTGTCTTAATAGCAAAGTACGTGAAGTCTATTCTATTAGAGACCTCTGAACCGTGCAGGCGATGTTGTGTCATTTAACATAACAATAGTGCCGCTCGATTCTCCCGGGATATGGAGAAAGCTACTATCTTGCATTTGATCTACAGAAGATAATATACTGATTTTACGCTTTTCATTCACCCCTGCGCCATAATTACGCGTGTTCAGCAAGCTGACGATTCACGTCGTTTTCACAAGAAATTCTGTTCATTTTGCGAATGTGGGAAGTATATATTTTTGGTACTGAAACTATGCAATAACTAGATGCATGCACGAAACTCTTACCTGGCATTTGCAGGTAACACACTTATATTCTCCCAATGAATCGATAAATGGATGATATTCGCTGCCATTAGCAAATGGTTTTTTAGCATTGCTGGGGTTTTTGCAACCCCCATCTTCCAAGATTTTTGCAGCGATATTCTCCTTCTTCTTTCCGTATTCACTTCCGTGGTTTTTCACAGAATATTCGGAAGCGGTGGAGACAAAATCATCTGACAGTGGATCATTTATATCAAATGCCTTTTTATTACTACAACTCCTACAGCACTGCTTTTCGTTCTCTTTAAGTCGGGTGCAACTAATCTGGTAGGCTTCTGGATTGCAATAACACTCAGTGCAGAGGTCAAAGCCGAAAGGAATAAGGAACGGATAAAATTTTGTACCCGGCAAATAATATCTAAAATCAAAGAATTAGTTAAACTACCGTCCAGGATCTGGATAGATTCCTAACTTACTGTCCACTCAAAGTACACTTCTGACCATTAGCTTCTCTAGTAGGGATAGAGTTATTAACACATACTGGACAACATTCGCCATCCACGGCAACTTTTTTACCAGCAGTGCAGTTTATTTCTGGACAAGTCATTATGTCGCACTTAGTAGCTCCACTTTGGCAGAAACACATCTGACAAGGGTTTTTACCCGATACCCAAATTTCTTCAGTCTTGTAAAATTTTTCTTCAAAGAAGCATTCGCCAGTCGAAACTATTTGAGGATGGTCGTCGAGAGATACGCTGTTCTCGGAGCTGTAAGGTCTGCAGGGTGGCGGTATAGAGACCTGGAAATCAATGAAAATCAATAATAGTTTACCCGAATACACAAAAATATATTCTATAATATGATTTTCTATTATTTGTTTTTGAAATGTATTATTGATATTATTCTTACTTTAACTACTGTCGCCATGAGCAGCACCGCTTTAGAATCTGCATCTTTAACCTTTAAAAAGTTAACTCCGTTTTCCAGTCTGTTCGTTTCGTCTTTAGTAAGTATCTCGACAGGAGAACCTTCTACAGAATTACCTTGAAACGAATCTAATTGTTTGTTAATAAATGGAGCACCAGGAGCGATCATTGGATAGAACTCCATCCAAAGCTCCAGCTTACGGTCTCCACCAAGACCTAAAAGATAAAATATTATTGGTTTTTGTTTGTTCGAATATATGATAAGTTTACCGTACCCGTAAGCGAAATATCATAATGCAAATGACACTCGATGTCAACAGAGATCCAGGCCAACCCGACTGCAGCTGTAGATAAATTAGAATATTCTCTTTTCAACAATACTGGTGCGGGGGCGTCTCTAGCATCATCCACAGGTTTGGCAATAAGTTTTCCTTTAATCAAGCTATTGTCACTAGTAGTAGCAACGTTGACAGCCAAATCTCCAGCATACAATGGTTCCAAAACTCTAGGGGTTAGTTTTTCTAAGGTACCATTGGCCCAGCCATCTCCATGGAAATAGGGGGTCAAATCTTCGAGTTCCGTTTTCTTTTTGGTGCTCATATCGATGAGTGTAATTATTGGAGGATTTTCTTTAGGGGGTAGCTTGTCGATTTGTATATTGTAAATGAGAGAACCGGCATTATTCAAGTATAACCAGGCCATGCCTGAGACTCCATCTGGATTGGCGGTGTTTGAAGAGGATAAAATGGATTGGAATATTTCGCAAGAAGCCTTTGTCAAGATGTTTCCACTTAGTTTAAGTGCATCTGGTTTTGATAAAGACGACAAGCTCAATAATATACGTCCTCTGGTCAGATAACGTAAATGAGCTTGAGTTATTGTCGCGCTTACATTGATAATATTAAGGTCGGTAGCTGGTTTCAAGACCTGAACTGTTTCCTGAAGAACTATTTGCCTTTTTTCATCCATAGATAATGTGATATTAATCGGCACATTAGCAATTTCGGAAGGCATAAATAGACCGTTGAAAACTATTGCAACATTGATTGATGGAGTTACTGTGGTAGATATTGACACTATTGCTGTACCTCCAGCACCTGCCATCGAAAAGGAATCTGATCCAGGTGCGGGTTCTAAAAGAGCACTAAGCAATTCTGTTTGCAAAGCTCCATTTTTCATAATCAAACCACTTAAAGTGAATTCCGCTTGATCTTTTACGCCCCAAACTAACACAGCATACATTTTCTCTTGTTTGAGCAGTTTCCTATATTCTTTAGCCAATCTGCGCCATACGCCGCAAACTTTTCTCGAAGCATTTTGATAAAGACTGTTAACATAGCCGCCAGAATGAGATAGTGTAAATTCTTCTACAATATTACCTTGACCATCAACAAATTGCAATGATTGAGGACGAGCAGCGTTTTCAGATATGTAGAAAGAGTAATAAAGGTTTCTTTTGTGGACTGAAAATCTACCAGTGGCTACCACGTTGTTTTTATTCATTTCGGTCATCGGTTTAACAAATTCGTTGGTCACTATTAAAGATGACCGACCAGTGAGTAATGCAGTAAAATCTGAAAAAAAACGAGTGTTTTCAATGAGGAGGAATTCGTTTCGTCGGCAATAGTTCTGGGTTAAGCTTTTAAGATAGACCTACGTTTGTTGCTTTTTTCCTCCACTTCCGCGACATTCTGTGGGACGATGTCTTGGACCGTGTCGGGACCTGAAACAAAAAATGAACCATCAGTTAGTGGGCGCTTTTAATAGTTGTGGGCGTTTGTAATAGTAATTAACCGTTTAATAGAATCGATTGAATAAGGCGACCCAGACATCGATTTGTTATGCAAATATGTCGACGATTCTTTCAAATTACAGATTCAATTATAATATTTGATCAGTACCTACTAATTTTTGATGATTTTGGACTCAAAAGACAAAACGAGCTGAATAATATTCCTTGGAAGAAAAAAAAAATCAATTAGGTCGATATTATCATCGGAAAGCTTAGCCAGAGTAGGCAGATTGAGACCTGATGATGGTTGAGGTAATTAACTACCTACATCTCCTTACACCAAATTCATCAATCCAATAAGCTTCCAATTTATGGGATTTTGCCTATATAACTTGAACTTACTGATTTCTTGAAAATGCTAATTTTCATTGGGGAAACAATGGCAAGTTAATTTGGAACAAACACGCAATGCTGAAAGCGACCAATATTTTAGTATTGGGAAGCCATTACTGTCCAAATTCTGTAAATATGCTGAATACTCACTGCTCACAGTGCTCACTGATTGATCGTCTTTCTGCCAACAAACAAAGCTACCTTTCCACATTAAGCAAGATGATGGATTTATTGTAAATGTCCTTGCGTCTTTCAAGAACTCCGTCCCTGTCTGACAACCTTAAAAACATAATGTTAATGCCTAATAGTTTGGCGCGTGTTTGTTTTTAAAACTTTCTAATTATTCCTATACGGGCGGCTCGTAAGTAGACCTGTTCCGTTGTAGCCGCCTCCACCGCATAATCTTTATTACTAAAATAATGGATATTTTATTTCTCATTGATAAAATTTAATCCCGGTCTCTACTCTCTAAAAGTCTAATGACATCTACTTTGCAAGAAATATTGGGAAATTATCCAGAATTAAGAATTACCTACGTTGTAATTGACTACTTATAATAACCATGAAAATGTATCATGGCTGTGTCATGGCCACGAAATATGTGTCCAAAACGAAAATGACGCCGTCCTTGAAAGCAAAAGAGCATTCAAATTTTCAGAAAAGTTTCAAGCTCCAAGTTTTTTTTAGATAACTCCAATACTACCTATTCCCTCTCAAGATTACTATAAGTCTAAGAACAGACCCTTGATATCATTAATTTTTATTCGTATTTCCCCGAAATTGTCTCTAGTATTTTTATTGTTACTGTTACCACACTGTATATAAATTGCACTACCTACCTAATAACTATGCGCTGTTCTATTTTAAGGAAATGAATCTATATTTTATTATGAATTAAAACGAATATCCGGATACATATTAGGTACCTATCACATGTCTCTGCTCGTTGGCCATTCGATATCTTCAATTCTTCACTGTGAGAACGATTTTCAAGATCTGGTTTAATTATAGAGAAAACATTATCATTTTCATCGATACCCGCCGGCTTATTTCAATTTATTATACGCAGCGCTATTACCATCATTATTGGGTGATTATCTAGACAATCCTGTTGTGATTTTACTTCTAAGGAGAAATTAAATTTTAAAAATTGTTTATTCTGCAATTGTTAGTATGAGAAGTTTTTGCCATCAATTTGCATCCATTTGCCTATCCATCTTTGGCTGGTGCACTTTATTAAATTAGTCATGAAGTCATGAAGTGGCCAGGTATGAATTGAGATTGCATTCTCATAGGTTCACGACTTTAACTCTCATTTTTCGAATTAACAAATTATTATTATTACTATTGAAGGTATAAGTCAATTTTCAGTTGGTTTGGTTGTCGTGAGAGAATAATCTATTAGATTACTCTGGGTTTCTAAATTTGTTTGGTATGAAAATATCATCGGCTGGGAAATAATCTCTAGTCTTTCGAATAGAAATAAATTCAGTCAGAGCAGACATGTAGAAAAAGGTCATTCTCTCTGCTAGAAATTAGCCTGTGTGGTCTGGCGGCCTAGCGCCGGTATTTATAGACGAAAATTTCAGGCGTTGGTCGCAAGTTGAGTCCGTTGTCTTTTTGCAAAAGACTTGGCACGCTCGTCTGCAAATATCTTAGTTGCGACAAGACGTTATACATCGAAATGGAATGCAACATGCTAACCGATATACTTTATACCATTGCTATTTTACGAACTGTACGATAAGCCAGATTTAGTTCCATTTGAATGTTTTCTAGAAAAAAATAAAGTGTTTTATTTTCATGTCCATGGTAAAATAAAGCAAGTACCTATGTATACCCAAGTGAGTTTTCGAATCCATCGTCATCGTCAACGCTTATATGGTATATGTAGGTATAAAACCAAGTGTAAACGAAGACAGTGCTGGGACGAGGCGCCAGCCAGCCGTTCACAAATACATTTATCAAACCGGCAACCTGTCGGCAAACTCATTGACTATGCTAGAACCGATTAATGTATGCACATATTACTAGTAAATCTGATTAGTTTGCGTTGGAAATTAGCAAAAAGTAGTCAGCTTCCGTAGCTTCGATTACTTATGAACGCTATTTTAGCAGAATTGACCAAATATGGTCGAAAAATCACTTATTTGACGGTGAAATTGAAATTCCATTCACCAATCCAAAGCTGTATTCGTTCGTAAAGTCAATTCTACAACTATACTTAATGATGAATATTTTGTTCTAAATACATTATATTTACTGGCTTATGTGCAATATCTAGATCATCGTGGATGGTATCCAGACGTGACGCAGTAAAATCAGTCTATGACGGTTTTGAGAAATTCTTCAGTGAGAAAATGGTCCTATGCAAATATTTCCTCCCCAAATATATACATGAAAATGATATCCGTAAACTTCAGCAGTTGAATGGATATTTGACAAAGAAAAAAATAAACTTGATTTGAAGGGGGGGGAGAGGGGGTACATCATTGGTGAAATTTCAGATCACCAATGTGAAAGTCTTGAATTGTTTGACAAATTATTTCAATTTGAAAGTCTGATGTCAATAATTTGTTTCATTTGCCCATTTTTGCACAATAATTTCCTTCAAGTGTAGGGGTTCATTTCTACTTAATAATAGATATCCCATCCTATATTTCTATAGGTTTATAAAGAATATATTTCAGGTATTTTAGTAAACTATATGGATGTTATCTAGGAAATCGTTATCACAAGCCATTTGCTTAATCCATGAGAAAACTTTAGACTGTAATAATACGATGAAAATTGAAAAGTTGCTGAAGTCTTGCTATTCCGCAAAAAAATATTAAGTTTTTTATAATTTCTTTCTTGAACCTTGATTTCTCGATTATCCAAAGTTTTGATCTTCTATTATAAAGAGGGCAAGCCCAAAGCTTAAATACTTAGTGTCAGTCAGTTCATATTACGATTTCAATTTCTTTGCAGTTACATAAAATACCCGCTATGTGATAAAAACAACCAGGAATTTGCCGAACAAGTTTTTCTCTCACAATTTGAAAAACCTCATTAAATCTGAAACATAATTTGTCACCCAACAGCGAGGTGACATAAACGAGCTGAACGCTTATTAAAGTTTCAAAACTCAGCTTGCCATATCAACACAATTACACTTGACGGCCGGTTATTTGAATTCCAGCTCGGATCCTGCATAATTTGCAATCTCATCTCTCGGAATTTACTATTATATTCCGTTTATATGCCTTGGGACGTATAGTAAATATTTAAACAAGAGAAGTGGAGAAAAAAGGCGAACGAGATTCATACAGTTATTTTATGTATTTTTGTCGGGTATTTACGATAAATTTTATTGAACTCGCTTTATTCTCGATTACATGTTTGACCAATTAAAGCCCGTAGATGCAGATCTTCGCAAATAATTAAATGGTGCAAAAATATTATTAAAGAAGGTCAAGTCTTTATTATCTTATTGTCCCTCAGATTTAGGTCGAGAGGAGTGCTACGAATAATCTAGTCTAGATTGACTTGCATCCTTGCCCTATTTCTAATCTAGCTTCAAACACGCGGCGTCATCAGCCAAAGTCAATATACTGTTGGCCAGGAGAATTAGCAACAAGAACATCAATCATTTCTGGCTTAGGTTAGGTAGGTAACGCTTTCAACAATATTTCTTTTCCTTGTTTGGACAGTTGCGCTGAAGAGTTTTTGGGATGCGTATTAAAGTCAAAAAGTGATAAATACCTTAATTTGACATCCAATCATGCGCAGATTCCCAGAATAAGGAACATTAATTCAAATGGTTAGTAGAGTACTGGTACTTCACGGGAATATTGATATGAGATCCTAAAAATATAAAACACTCGACAAATGCTTTTAAATAATTATTTAAAATTTTACTGCTACTAATAATTAGATGTTCGATATTCAATTCAGGTGCAGAGTTCATTCATTTTAAAATGAAAGTGAAATGGTACCTATTTAACTAATTGCTCGATAGGGAAAAAATGTGCGATAAAAGATACGAGATTGAATAACAACTAACAACCTAATCATCATCATAATGCATTCGCATAAGCCGATCATTCTTGGTGGACGCACTTATCAGTCGTTCTCGTTTTTGCTACGATTCCGTTTATAATCTGCGTCCCTTCGAAGCTTTGTTGTTCGAAATACTGAGGGCCTTGATTGATAAGTCGTCGACAAACATCAATCTGACAGGTTTTCATGTTTATCTTGAGGAAGCCGTGTTCCGAATTGTCCACCTTGGCTACTTTGGCGATTCTCCAGTTGGAAATACATGATTTGCATAGGAAGAGACTGCTCTGCATATGACATGACCAGTCCAGCGAACCAATCCAGGTCATTTTATCTTTTCAAGCTAGTAGCCTAGTCAATCTAGGCAGGTTTATACAGGTGAGGTAGAAAAAATTAGTAACAAAGTGATCTCTGCGGAAATGAGTAGTCAATAGGGTCCTAATTAATCCCTCAAAAATCGCACTTCGTCGCATTGGTGGAACTTGGATAAAAATGGCCGCCATCTTGAATTTTTTCGAATTTATTGAATATTTCGTAAAGTATGCATTATATCAAAAAAACTCAAGATACCTTTTTTGTGGAGAATCAAAAGTTACCTATGATGAAAGAAATTTCAATACTATTAGCGGGAAAACAAGAAAGTTATTGAAGTTTAATTTATTTAAAAATCTGGAAATTTTTGAACTTTGGGTAATATCGCAAAATGTATGCATTTTTCTAATAAGACTTAAGAATGCCTTTTTGTAGAGGATTGAAGATACCTATATTGGTTAAAAAAAACATCAGTCATTATCGAAAAGTTTGATGTCAAAAGTTTGAAGGATGGTCTCAAGTTTTCAGTCTTTCTTTTCCATTACTGGGAAGATTTAGGGCATACTGAATTCATATCTCTTTCATCTGGTATTATTGCATGTTCATCTGTTAATTGTGATAAAGCTCGTGGCATTGGCGAAAACATCTTGAAGAGAAATATTGGTAAAAAATTCACCGAAATACAATGCAAGAGATCAGAAAATATCAAAAACTTTGCCCAAATGAGCAACAGTATTAAAATTCGCCAGAAGTACGTAGACATAAACCCCATGCAGCTCTTTAACAGAATTATTTGCTCGAATAAAACACCTGAAGAAATTAAATATTGTTTTGATTTCGAACTTTCACCATATCCATTGGCACTTTTTAAAGACGGCAACCTAAGAAAGGGAGTAAAATCTCAACTTCTGAAAGAAACTGACAGCTTGCATACTTCTTCAGCTCCATTCATAAATAACGGGACCTTTTGTATTATAGATGGCGGATTTCTTTTGCATAAGGTGAAATGGCAAAGACCAGCAATATACCATGAAATATTCTCTCAGTATGTAAATTATATTGTTTATACATACACCAAAAATTGTGTAGTAGTTTTTGATGGCTATAATCAAGAAAATCTATCAACTAAAGATAACTTACAGAAGTTTAGATCTAAACAGAGCGTAGCAGTCTCAATCCAGTTGCACGGCACGGTTGTCACACCACAAGATCTCTTTTTAAAAAATAGTCAAAATAAAAAAGAGTTTATCGAAATCCTGCGAAGATATCTAGAAGAAAATGATATTACCGTATATCAGGCGGAAAGGGATGCTGATGTACTGATAGCAATGACGACCGTTCAGTTGTCTAGCATTAAAACACATGTGACCCTGGTTTCTGAGGATACAGATATCATGGTTTTACTCATAGATCATATAAAAACCAATAATGTGTGTTTGCTTAGACCAGGCAAAGGGGCAAAGGGCGACAAAATTTCTAGAATAAATGAGATTTAGACAAAATTAGGCCATACAAAAGAATACATACTTTTTATACATGCAATATCAGGCTGTGACACAACATAATTTTTGTACAATAAATCAAAGAAGTGCTTCTTGAAATTGGTACAAGAAAACAAAAATCTATGTCGAGACCTGGATATATTTCAAGAACCTATAATGCAGACATTTCAGTTTTGATTAAATCAGGACTTAAAATTCTTTTGAATCTTTACCGGTGTCCAAAGAGGATTTGCGGTATTAACCAGCTACGTTACACACTATCAAAGCCTCAATTCTGAACTAAGTTTAGCCACACTGCCTCCAACTGAAGAATCTGCCAAATAGCACATTCTTAGGACATGTTTTCTGGAATTTCAGGTCAGAGTTTTGAAATTATATAATTTACCAGTATACGGTATTTTTGGGGTTCTTGGATCAGGAATAATTAAAACCCAATTTTAATATGGCGACGTTTCGAAAAATATATTTTCTTTTTCAAGGCTAATTAAAGAGGGTCTCATTTGTCACACACGAGGATTTTTTGTAGAACATTATGAATATAGGTATAAGGACATTTCTTTTTTAAAAAATACTGTATCACGAAAAATTATACAGCCACCAACCACACACAGCAAGGTACACTCCTACCAGCAAGGTACCTCCAGTGTACCTTGCTGTGTGTGGTTGGTGGCTGTATAATTTTTCGTGATACAGTGTTTTTTAAAAAAGAAATGTCCTTATACCTATATTCATAATGTTCTACAAAAAATCCTCGTGTGTGACAAATGAGACCCTCTTTAATTAGCCTTGAAAAAGAAAATATATTTTTCGAAACGTCGGCATATTAAAATTGGGTTTTAATAATTCCTGATCCAAGAACCCCAAAAATACCTTATACTGATAAAATTAAAAAGGATCAAAAACAGAGTCGTTTTAAAAATATATAATTTACATTTCTTATCAAGTTTAGCTTATATATTTTTCCAGATTCAAGAATGGCTGGGGAACTCCCCCAACCCTCTCCAATATGGTTGGAAAACTGACGAAATGGGAGATCTAGTACCTATTACCACAACACAAGATCCAGCACCCCCAGATTTGTTGAAATTAATTTTTTGCAATTGCAAAGAAAGCAATTGTTTAAAGAATCGTTCGTGCAGAAAAATTGGACTAAAGTGCTCTGTAAAATGTGGTCAGTGCTACGGTGTAAGCTGTAATAATGCCATAATACACGACGACGAAGAAGACGATTTATAAAGTAGAATTAAATTTATTTGAATCTGTATCTATCTAGGTTCCTGCCCAAATGTTTTTCTTGTCATATGTGTTTTTTCTCCCTCTCAAAAAAAAAATAGTTTTGCACAAAAAATAAAATAAAATATTTGAGTTTTTTCCAGATGTTTTGAAAAATTCTATATTATCAAATGAAATAAATGTCAATAACTTTTTCGTTTTCCAGCTTATGGGCTTGAAATTTCTTTCATTATATTATGTAACTTTTGATTCTCCACAAAAAAGGTCTCTTGAGTTTTTTTTGATATAATGCATACTTTACGAAATATTCAATAAATTCGAAAAAATTCAAGATGGCGGCCATTTTTTTCCAAGTTCCACCAATGCGACAAAGTGCGATTTTTGAGGGATTAATTAGGACCCTATTGACTACTCATTTCCGCAGAGATCACTTTGTTACTAATTTTTTCTACCCCAACCACCCATTTTGACTAGCCTATAGCCAACAATTTCCAATTCCTTGTTGGTATTTTGTTCTTTCTCGAACTCTTTAGTTTCGGTATACTTGACCCTTTACCTGTTGAACAAAATCAAAATTTTTGAGTTTTCTTGTTTATTTATCAACAGCCTTACAGAGTCTGTAGAAACCCTAACGCGACATCTCGATGGTCAAATCATATTCCTTGCTGCTGAAAGTGCCTTGGGCAACGGGCAACGGAACTTGGAGATGGAGAGCACTCGTAATTTGAGGGCTTCGGAAACAGTCGTCCCCAGCGTTCGCTCCTGCACACTCAGAAGGTGGCTAATATGTCCTTCTTGAAGGCAGTTGCAGCACTTTATCGATTTTCTGGATTCTGCATCATGGCGCAGTATATCTCTATGCTCACTTGCTTCTGTGTTCGGGCGTTTCTCGGAAATCCTTACTTTCCTAATTTTGCTTCTTCCAGCTGAAGAGGTATTTTTGGCAGCGTCATACTCCATTCCATAGTCAACGGTTTCGGCTAGGATCTTATGTCTGCTTACTTATTCTTAGTGTCTTCGTCTTAGGTTTATAACTGTCCAGGATGTTACGCCGTCGAAAGTTGGTGCTTGGAGTTGGCCACGTATAAAAGTTGTTTTACGTGCTGCAGTAACTGTACTAATGGCCGTTTTACAGCTTGCAAGAAAACTTGAATGCAATTTCTTGCATGCAAAAGAATTGCATTTGAGATTTCTTGCACGTCGTTTTACACCTTGCAATTTATTGTATTGTTATTTCCTTCTCTAACCTCAACCATTTTTTATTTTTTATTTTGTGTTATTGATGTTTGCATTTTCAAGAAATGAAAGAAGTGATTATAAGTCGATATAAAAAGAACAAAGCAGCCACTTTAAGCATCATAATTGTACAAATTCCCCAGCTTGCGCGAAAACCCTTCCAGAAAAATGGCATCAAACCGATTCCATGCAATGCCATTCAAGTTTCAAGAATCTTGCAGAAAACAATCAGCTGACTCAGTTCTGCGCATGCCAAGTTTCTTGTATAATGCAGATAGAATTGCAAGCTGTAAAACGGCCTTTAATATAACTATATTTAAACGGTGCACGTGCAAGTCATTACAAGATTTTTGCGATTTGATTTCACATTCACATATGTGTTCAAAATCTTTCAATTGCTTTCTTACTAAAGACACTTGAAAAAAAAAGGAAAAAGGTGATTTGTTGATAGGTATGTATTTATTTACTTTTGTTGTGTGTATGTTAAGTTTCATTGTATAATGAAAAATTCATTGAAATTGATTAAACACAATGACATATTATTCTCATTATGGCAATAACCTAGTAACTTTTATTGCAAGTTGGCATGACAAAAATTACCAAATTTTCCCCCAAAAATGACTTGTATACTTGCAGAAATATCGAACAGAACCGATAAGTACTTGCAAGTGCAAAACTGCACATGCCTTTTGCAAAATCTCGTGCACTGACTTGCAGGACCTCTTGCAGCATGTAAAACCACCTTGAGGGTTAACCGACATACCGACACATCCATTCTACTGCCGCTTTCGTTGTTGGGTTCATCGCAATTTTTCTCTGGTATATCTATCTATATTTCTTCTCGAATTTCTCGGGGTCTATGCCTATTTCGGCTTTCACTTATTCACGGACTGTTCCTATTCAACTTCCAATTTCTTGTCGAATATCTTTCTTATTTTCCTTATTGTTCTTGCAAAATTTTTGGAGCCCATCCTCCTTTTCTCCTTGTTGTCTGTCTCCTCCTTTCTGTTTTTCTTCCAGTCGTCTGTCTTCTTGTTCTTGCAGAATTTGCTGAAATCGGTCCTGTTGTAGCTGTCATTGGTTATCGGGTTTTTGCGGACTCTTCAATAAAGCGAGCACCTGGTTTATCTGATCCTCCATTTCGGAGGTCCGTCAATTCGATTGCTTCATTATTCGCTAGAATATCCGATCAACTTCAAATTCCATTCTCGAAAAGTCTGGTGGACATGAAAAACTACGAGGCTATCTGTGTTTTTTAATCCCTATTACCGTATTTGGTGCAGTGTTTTCCAGATTGCGCGCGTTGTCTCCAACTTAGAGGAAACGCAAATTTCACATCGCCGCACTCCTTATGAATTTATAACATCCAAGATTATAGCAATAGAATATCTTACATATTTGACAGCAGCGAAGAGTGGAATTTGACAAAAAAAAAATGGTTCGTCATGAATTGCCCAAAAAACGTGTTTCCAGAATAAGAATAATCTTTTATCAGAACACATAAATAAGTGACGTTACATAGAAAGTTTATAGTATCAAATTTATTATATATTTTTTCACGTACATTGATAATCAATGGTTTGCGTTTTGAAAATAGTTAACAGGTGAATTTTGTTATTGAAGTTGACCTCCCCAGTTAGGATTAAAATTACATTTTTTTTTTCGCGTCAGCAAATACATTTTTAAGTATTCTGTTGAAATGACGTACGAAGACAACAATAATAATACATAATTATTATTATTATTATGAGAAGCGGCTCTAGAAGCGCGCCATCAATAGACTATGATAACAATAGGCGCAGTTCAGGAATAGTCTGGGCTGGCGCCTCATGTTATTTAAAACAAAACTACCTATAAATATTACCTAAACAAGGGTTATTTTGTTTTATAATATTTATCATAGGCAACTAGTTATGAATAGGTATCCGAAACGCGAATTTCCAATACCGGACAATTATGCTCGCCGCGAGAGTCGTAGGTACGTCTGGAATAAGAATCAAAGTACGGTCATAAAATGATTTTTTGTTTGGCACGTATTGCTGTAAATATTTTATTTCTATTGTGATTACTGGCAATAAAATAGCGATTAATGATTATTCAAGGAATATAAATTTTAGTTATAAATCAAATCGGAGGATACTATAACCTGATTTGAATGCCTACTATTTTTATTTATAAATTGACATTAACTACTTCCCAACTATAAAAATATATCTGCCTTTTTTGTGAAGATTTATTGTTGAGTGTTTAAGTGTTTTGCGATATTGTCGGTATTTTTTATGTATCTATACCTATCTAATTCTGCCTAAAAAAATCAATAAGTGTAATCAAAATCGATGATAATTTATGCGGCACCAACGGAGCAATCACAATTTTTTTTGAAAATTTCGTAATACTTGATGCAACATCAAAAAAGTCAATCAGACAAGAGACGCGCACCGGTGGGCGAAAAAAGAAAAGGAACATTCACCCACCCATCAGCCACCCACCGTAGCCGTGCAGCAGATGGCGCCACTTGTTTTCTT